TGCCCACCACCACCCCCGGCTAATTTTTTTTTTTTTTTTTCGTAGAGACAGGGTTTCACCATGTTGGCCAGGCTGGTCTTGAACTCCTGACCTCTGGTGATCCACCTGCCTCCCTGCCTCAGCCTCCCAAAGTGTTGGGATTACAGACATGAGCCACCGTGCCCAGCCTCATCTCTGCCTTTGACCTGCGAGCAAACCAAGTCGCCTCCAGATCCGTGTGTTCAATGCCATGCCTGACCCTTGTAACTGGCTCTTTTTGTTTTTTTGAAACAAGGTCTCAATCTGTCGCCCAGGCTGGAGCGCAGTGGCGCAATTACAGCTCACTGCAGCCTCCACCTTCCAGCCTCAAGCACTCCTCCTGCCTCATCCTTTTGTGTAGCTGGGACAACAGGTATGCACCACCGCGCCTGGCTAATTTTTAACTTTTTGCAGAGATGGTGGGGCGGGGTGGGGGGGTCTCACTATATGGCCCAGGCTTGTGATCAGCTCTTGATGGAAGGAGGTGGCTTCTAGCTGGGTTCTGCCACCTCAGGCTCTGGAGTTCCAGGTGAACCTGGTCCTGACAGGAGTCAAGGCCTTGGGTCTCAGGCCAGGTTGTAGCGTGGCCTTGCTGAATCCTATCACTATCCTGGCTGAGCAGCCATACTGGGCCCTGTGACCCACGGTGGTCTATGGTTCAGATGGGTGGTCCTGACAGCAGGGTCTACACAGCATCTGACTCACTATGTGGCCTGGGCAAGCCCCTGGGCGTCTCTGCGCCTCAGCTTCCCAGCTGTACAATGAGGTGGGGTAAGATTAGATCGGTATTTTTTCTTTCTTCTTTTTTATTTCTTAGGAGATGGAGTCTCAACCAGGCACAGTGACTCTCACGCCTGTAATCCCAGCACTTTGGGATGCTGGGGTGGGAGGATCACTTGAGGTCAGGAGTTTGAGACCAGCCTGGACAACATGGTGAAACCTCACCTCTACTAAAAATGCAGAAAGTTAGCTGGGTGTGGTGGTGCATGCCTGAAGTCCCAGCTACTCGGGAGGCTGAGGCATGAGAATTGCTTGAACTCAGGAGGTGGAGGTTACAGTGAGCCAAGATTGCAAGATTGACTCCAGCCTGAGTGACAGAGCGAGACTCTGTCTGGAAAAAAAAAAAGGCCGGGAGCAGTGGCTCACACCTATGATCCCAGCACTTTGGGGGGCCGAGGTGGGCGGATCCTGAGGTCAGGAGTTCGAGACCAGCCTGGCCAACATGGGGAAACCCCATCTCTACTAAAAATACAAAAAATAGCTGCCAGTGTGGCGGGCACCTGTAATCCCAGCTACTTGGGAAGCTGAGGCAGGAGAATCACTTGAACCCAGGAGGCGGAGGTTGCAGTGAGTGAGATCATGCCACTGCACTCCAGCCTGGGTGACAGAGCAAGACTCTGTCTTGGGAGAAAAAAAAAAAATGGAAAAAAAGAGTTGGGGTCTCATTCTGTCATCCAGGCAGGAGTACAGTGGCATAATCATAGCTCACTGCAGCCTTAAACTCTTGGGCTCAAGTGATCCTCCAGCCTCAGCCTCCTGTGTAGCTGGGACTACAAGTGCCTACTACCATGCCCTGCTAAATTTTAGAAAAAACTTTTTGGTCTATGGCCATACCACCCTGAACACGCCTGATCTTTCCTGATCTCAGAAGGCCTGGTTAGTACTTGGATAGGAGAAAAAAACCTTTTGTAGAGACAAGGTCTCACTATGTTGCCCAGGTTGGTCTCAAACTCCTGGACTCAAGCAATCCTCCCATTTAGGCCTCCCAAACTGCTGGGATTAGAGGCGTGAGCCACCACACCCGGCCAATCAGTTTCTTTTTCTTTTTGAGACAGAGTCTTGCTCTGTCACCCAGCCTGGAACACAGTGGTGTGACCTCGACTCACTGCAACCTCTGCCTCCTGGGCTGAAGCGATCCTCCCACCTCAGACTCCCAAGTAGCTAGGACTACAGGCGTGCACCACCATGCCAGGCCAATTTTTCTTTTTCTTTCTTTTTTGATTTTTTTTGAGGCGGAGTCTTAGCTCTGTTGCCCAGGCTAGAGTGCAGTGGCATAATCTTGGCTCATTGCAACCTCTGCCTCCCAGGTTCAAGCGATCCTCCTGCCTCAGCCCCGCTAGTAGCTGGGACTACAGGAACATGCCACCATACCTGGATAATTTTTGTATTTTTAGTAGAGATGGGGTTTTGCCATGTTGACCAGGCTGGTCTCGAACTCCTGACCTCAGGTGATCCACCCACCTTGGCCTCCCAAAGTGCTGGGATTACACACGTGAGCCACCGCTTCCAGCCCTAATTTTTCTATTTTCAGTTGAGACGGGGTTTCACCATGTTGGCCAGTCTGGACTCGAACTCCTGATCTCAAGTGATCTGCCTGCCTCGGCCTCCCAAAGTGCTGGGATTACAGGTGTGAGCCTCCACGCCTGGCCCAATCAGTGTTTCTTAATTGGGTGCACATCATAGTCACCTGGGAGTACCTTCTCCCAAGTCCCATCATCCACCTTAATCAGAACCATCATGCCAGGTGGCCCCAGGTGCCTGACGAAAGGATCTGTATACCCTGCAGATGCCAGCAGAACGGAGGGGGTCTGGCCAGTCTCGGGCAGTGCCCGTCTGCCTCACCCCTTCAGTCACATGCTACCTCTCTGCTACCCAGGAGGCCTCCATGATGCTCCCTGAGGCCCGGCCTGCCTCTTGTCCTTCTGGCTGACCTCCTACATTCATTGGTGCTATGGCAGGGCCTCCCCTCTGCAGGGCACCTGCAGGTTTCCGGGGGCCTCTTGGGGATACCTGGCCTCATTCATGGAGACCTCAGGCTCCCTGGGGAGGTACCAGGGTGGAGAGGGGCTATATATTTTTCAAGGTAGTCAGCCATCTATTGCATGCCCACCTGGACCACATCTATCTCTGCCTTTAAGAAATTTATTCAATTTTTTTTTTAAGAGACGGGGTCTTGCTCCATTGCTCAGGCTGGAGTGCAGGGGCACGATCTCAGTTCACTGCAACCTCCGCCTCCTGGGTTCATGCAAATCTCCTGCCTCAGTCCCCCGAGTAGCTGGGATTACAGGTGCCCACGACAACGCCCAGCTAATTGTTGTATTTTTAGTAGAGACGCGGTTTCACCATGTTGCTCAGGCTGGTCTTGAACTCCTGACCTCAAGTGATCTGCCTGCCTCGGCCTCCCAAAGTGCTGGGATGACAGGCGTGAGCCACTGTGCCCGGCTCTACCTTTTTTCAAAAGGAACAGTCCCTAGTCCCCGCGGGGCAGAAGGGCAGCTTCTTCACCTCCGACTCACCTGGCACCTTGGCATCATTGCAGATTTCTGCAAAGGGTCTGAAAAAGAAAGAAATTAGGTGGCAGTTAGAAAATGAGGTTTTCCCCTCCTTTTTTTTTTTGATATGGAGTCTCACTCGGTCACCCAGGCTGAAGTGCAGTGGTGCAATTTTGGCTCACGGCAGCCTCCACCTCCTGGGTTCACGCCATTCTCCTGCCTCAGCCTCCCGAGTAGCTGGGACTATAGGCGCCCGCCACCACCCCCAGCTAAGTTTTATATTTTTAGTAGAGACATGGTTTCACCATGTTGGCCAGGCTGGTCTTGGCCTCAGGTGATCCTCCTGTCTTCGCCTCCCAAAGTACTGGGATTACAGGCATGAGCCATTGCATCTGGCTGTTTTCCCCTCCTTCTCACCTGCTGCCTGAGATGTGCTGCTGCTGCTGCCCAGTAAGACCCAAATAAAAATGGAACACACCGTCCCAACAGAGCAGCCCCCATATAGGCGCTGGATGATGGGCCTGTGCCAGCAAATCATTCCTCTGGGTCTGCTGTCCTCATCTATAAAGTGAGGATGTTGTCTGCTCAAGTGATCAGAAATGTGTGCCCAGATTTATGCAAGTGGATAGTCATCACAGCATTATTATTAATTATTATTTTTGAGACAGTCTCACTCTTTTGCCCAGGCTGGAGTTCAGTGGTGCCATCCTAGCTCACTGCAGCCTCGAACTCCTGGGATCAATTGATCCTCCTGCCTCAGCTTCCCAGTAGCTGGGAATGCAGGTGCATACCACCATGCCTGGCTAACTTTTTTAAATTAATTATTATTATTATCATTATTTTTGAGACGGAGTCTCGCTCTATTGCCCAGGCTGGTGTGCTGTGGCATGGTCTCAGTTCACCGCCACCTCCACCTCCCGGGTTCAAGCAATTGTCCTGCCTTAGCCTCCCGTATAGCTGGGATTACAGGCGTAAGCCACCACACCTGGCCGTTTTCCTGCATTTTTCTAGTTGTTACTTCAGGGGGTCAACTATCTGTGGGAGAAAGGAAACCTCCACTTTTTGATTTTGAACAATTTGGTTTTTTTTTGACACATGCAAATATTATCTTAATTTAAAAAAACAGGTAGACCAGGCACGGTGGTTCATGTTTGTAATCCCAGCACTTTGGGAGGCCGAGGTAGGCGGATCACGTAAGGTCAGGAGTTTGAGACCAGCCTGGCCAACATGGTGAAACTCTGCCTCTACAAAAATACAAAAATTAGCTGGGTGTGGTGGCGGGCACCTGTGATCCCAGTTATTCAGGAGGCTGAGGCACGAGAATCGCTTGAATCTGGGAGGCAGAGGTTGCAGTGAGCCAAGATGGCGCCACTGCACTCCAGCCTGGGTGATAGAGCGAGACCTCATCTCAAGAAACAAAACATGTAATATAACACTGAAGGCAGGCCAAGTGCTGTGGCTCAAGCTTGTAATCCCAGCAGTTTGAGAGGCCGAGGAGGGCAGATCACCTGAGGTCAGGGGTTCGAGACCTGCCTTACCAATATGGTGAAACCCCCGTCTCTATTAAAAATACAAAAAAAAAAAGAAAGAAAAAAAAATTAGCCAGGTGTGGTGGCACATGCTTGTAATCCTAGCTACTCGGGAGGCTGAGGCAGGAGAATTGCTTGAACCTGGGAGGTGGAGGTTGCAGTGAGCTGAGATTGTGCCATTGCACTCCAGCCTGGGTAACAAGAGCAGAACTCCATCTTAAAAAAAAAAAAAGAAAAAAGAAATACACCACAGGCCAGGTGTGGTAGCTGACCCCCATAATCCCAGCACTTTGAAAGGCTGACATGGGAGGATGGCCTGAGCCCAGGAGTTCAAGACTAGCCTGTGCAATACAAAATAAAATAAAATAAAATAAAATAAAACAAAATAAAAAGTGGCTGGGCGCGGTGACTCACGCCTGTAATCCTAGCACTTTGTGAGGCCAAGGTGGGTGGATCACCTGAGGTCAGGGGTTTGAGACCTGCCTTACCAATATAGTGACCTGCAAGACAGAATGAGACTCCATCTCAAAAAGAAAGTAATAATATATTAATAAAATAATAATTTAAAAATATAAAGAAATGCATCACAGTGTTGACTTTCAGTAGGAGAGTTACAGCTATGTTCTTTTCTTCTATTTTTTTTTTTTTTGTATTTTCCAGGTTGCTTTGTGTATTGTTCTGAAAATAATAAAATCATCTATTGTATTAAAAAAAAAGACTGGGCCGCACAGTTTGGGTGTGGTGGTTCACACCTGTAACCCCAGCACTTTGGGAGGCTGAGGTGGGAGGATCACTTGAGCTTAGGAGTTCAAGACCAGCCTGGGCAACACAGTGAGACCCTGTTGAGGCTGCAGTGGGCCATGATCATACCTCTGTACGCCTGCCTGGGCAAAAGAATGAGACCCTGTCTCAAAACAAAAACCAAAACCCAAAAGACTGTAAGGATATATGGTATAATAGTAATAACGGAGGCTGAGTGCAGTGGCTCACGCCTGTAATCCCAGCACTTTGGGAGGCTGAGGCAGACAGATCACTTCAGGTCAGGACTTTGAGACCAGCCTGGCCAACATGGTGAAACTGCATCTCCACCAAAAAATACAAAAATTAGCTGGTATGGTGGTGCATACCTGTAATCCCAGCTACTTGGGAGGTTGAGGCACGAGAATCGGTTGAAGCCAGGAGGTGAAGGTTGCAGTGAACTGAGATTGTGCCACTGCACTCCAGCCTGGGTGACAGAGCAAGACCCTGTCTCAAAAAAAAAGAAAAAAATGTAATCACTGAGACTATGGCATTATGATTATTTTTTTAAAATAAATATTCATATTTTATTTAAACATTCATATTTAAATACATATTTATATTTACATATGTTAAAAATCAGAATTGTATAATCAGAAAAAGTCAAATTTAATGAAAACATATTTTGTTTTTGTTTCTTCCCCAGAGAACAAATTTAATATCTAAAAAAAAAAAAAATCTTTAAAAATAAGTAAATGTCCGTGAGCGTTGAAGTGTATGTTTCAGGAGAAAGAGGCAGGAACTATTACAGTACACCTGGGTCTAGATCCCAGCTGACCCACCGTGACCTTGACTTTCACCCTCCCCATGGCCTCACCCTCTCTGTTCCCCGTTCCAGAGGCCAGGCCCTCACTGGAGCTGGTTAATGATGACCATGAGGATGTGCTCTCGGGCCTTCAGGATCTTCTCCAGCCGGTGGATGTCGTAGGTGTTGGGGTTCCGGAAGGGGATGTCATCAGGCAGGCCCGTGACCTCCACGGCATCTGGACTGTCCCGGATCGGTTTATAAGGGACCAGCACTGGTCGGTTCAGGCCCAGGGCCTCACCTAGAGGGCACAGGAAGTCACAGTGAGGAAAGATGTCTCCTGTCCAAGGCAAAGCCCGGTAGGGAAAGGGCTGGAGTCTGGTCTGCCTCAGCCCAGCAGCCATCACACCTAGAGAGTTTAAAAATCAAGGCCGGGTGCGGTGGCTCAAGCCCAGCACTTTGGGAGGCCGAAACGGGTGGATCACGAGATCGAGACCATCCTGACTAACACAGTGAAACCCCGTCTCTACTAAAAAAATACAAAAAAATAGCCGGGCGAGGTGGCGGGCGCCTGTAGTCCCAGCTACTCAGGAGGCTGAGGCAGGAGAATGGCGTGAACCCGGGAGGCGGAGCTTGCAGTGAGCTGAGATTGGGCCACTGCACTCCAGCCTGGGCGACAGAGCCAGACTCCATCTCAAAAAAAAAAAAAAAAAAAAAAATCAAGACACACAGGCTGGGTGTGGTGGCTCACACCTATAATTCCACGACTTTGGGAGGCTGAGGCGGAAGGATCACTTGAGCCCAGAAGATCAAGACCAGTCTGGGCAACATGGTGAAACCTCCTCTCTACTAAAAATAGAAAAATTAGCAGGGAGTGGTGGCGCACACTTGTAGACCCAGCTACTTGGGAGGCTGGGGCAGGAGGATCGCCTAAGCCCAGGAGGTGGAGGCTGCAGTGAGCAGAGATTGCACCACTGTACTCCAACCTGGGCAACAGAGTGAGACCCTGTTTAAAAAAAAAGAAAATCAACATACACAAAATGTGGGTCATGGGCAGAGCAGCCGTGTCCCCAGGGAGCAGGCAGGCCAGCTGGGGGCTTCTGAAGGCGAGGCTGGCTGCAGAGGGAGGGAGGGCCTCCTGCTTCCCCCGGGAGGAGAGCTTGGTGTGCTGATCCCGACCGCAGGCACTGACCGTATTTCTCGTTGAAGAGTTCCTTCACCTGCTCCCGCAGGATCACCTTCTCCCCGAGTCTGTTGGCGTCATCTTTATCTAAAGAGGAAGACAAGGGGGCATGAGAGTTGGCATCGGCTTGGCCACCGGACCTGCTGCTTCTCCCACCAGGCATCCCTGACTTGCCAAAACATTATCTGCAGGCCCCACCCACTCCCACGCACCTGTTTGTTTATTTATTTATTTATTTAATTTTATTTATATATTTTTGAGACAGAGTCTCGCTCTGTTGCCCAGGCTGGAGTGCAGAGGCATGATCTCAGCTCACTGCAACCTCCACCTCCCAGGTTCAAGCGATTCTCCTGCCTCAACCTCCCAAGTTGCTGGGATCACAGGCACACACCACCATGCCCAGCTAATTTTTGTATTTTTTAGTAGAGACGGGTTTTCACCATGTTGCCCAGGCTGGTCTCAAACTCTTGGGCTCAGGTGATCCACCCACCTCAGCCTCCCAAAATGCTAGGATTACAGGCTTGAGCCACTGCGCCTGGCGGTAGCTGGTTTCTAGTCTCAGTTGTTGGTCTGTCCATCCATCCATTTTTCTTTTTTTGAGACATGGTCTTGCTCTGTCATCCAGGCTGGAAGGCAGTAGTGCAATCATAGATAGCTCATGGTAGCCTCCAAATCCCAGGCTCAAGTGATCCTCCTGCCTCAGCCTCCTGAGTAGCTGGGAATACAGATGTGCGCCACCACGCCTAATTTTTTAAATTTTTGTTACAGATGGAGCCTCGCTATGTTGCCCAGGCTGATCTTGAACTCCTGGCCTCAAGTGATCCTCTTGCCTTGGCCTTCCAAAGTTCAGGAATTACAGGTGTGAGCCACGATGGCCAGCCCATCCCACATTTTCTTACCAGTGTCCCCAGCACAGGCCCTGTGTTGGGCACGAAACAACCTAAAGAGAAGAGACAGGGCTACTCCCCTGAGGGGATCCCAGCCAGAGGGGGTGTCACCTGGTCACCAAAGTACAACAGAACACACTTAGGAGACAAGGGGCATGAATCAGGAATGCCCACCCTGTCTGGGCAAGTCTGGGGAGACCTCCCCCAGGAGAGCAGGATGCTTGAATGGGCTCTCAAAGCCTGACATGGTGGCTCATGCCTATAATCCCAGCACTTGCGGAGGCAGAGGCAGGCAGATCACTTGAGGCCGGGAGTTCGAGACCAGCCTGGCCAACATGGTGAAACCCTGTCTCTACTAAAAATACAAAAAGATTAGCTGGGTGTGGCGGCGGGCACCTGTAGTCCAGCTACACGGGAGGGTGAGGCAGGAGAATCACTTGAGCCTGGGAGGTAGAGGTTGCAGTGAGCAGAGATCACATCACTGTACTCCAGCCTGGGAGACAGAGACCTGTCTCAAACCAAAATGAAAACAACAACAGAAAAAAACGGACTCCGAAAAGGCAGGTAGGAGTTTGTGAAGGATGGAGTGGCAGTGGGAAGACAATGGGGCAGAAGGACCATCCAATCACAGGCACTCAAGGGTGAAAGATCCTGTGTTGGCCGGGTGCGGCCACTCACACCTATAATCCCAGCACTGTGGGAGGCCGAGACGGGCAGATCACCAGAGGTCAGGAGTTCGAGACCACCCTGGCCAACATGGCGAAACCCCGTCTCTACTAAAAATACGAAAATTAGCCAAGTGTGGTGGCGGGCACCTGTAATCCCAACTACTCAAGAGGTTGAGACAGGAGAACTGCTTGAACCTGGAAGGCAGCGGTTGCAGTGAGCCAAGATCGTGCCACTGTGCTCCAGACTGGGCGACAAGAGTGAAACTCCGTCTCAAAAAAAAAAAAAAAAAAGGAAAAAAAAAAGAAAGATCCTGTGTCCTGGAAGTGGCTGAACTTCGGGGTGGTATAGGGGAGACGACTGATGGGCCTAGCGGGGTCTGTGCACAGGGGCTGGTGTGACTGTGCTGGGCTGTTGGAAATCCCCTGACTGCTCGCTGGCCAAGGTCTGTGAATGGGAAACAGACCGTGTCTGGGAGTGTGGGGGCTATGCATTCTCCCCGCTCACTGCCCAGGCAACCGTCACGGCCTATCTGCTGCTTGAGCCCTGGCGTGCTCTGCTGTCCCCTCCCTGTAGCCTAGAGAAGCTGCTGGGGTCAGTTGGCCCTGGAGACGGGGCCTGAGCTGGGCTGTAAGGCTGAGGGGTGGTTGGGCTGGAGATGGGGTCTCAGGCAGAGCTCTGCAGCAGCCCGCAGGCTTGTGCCAGGGTTGAGGACGGGGCTGGGATTGCAGGAAGGGTGGTTTGCATGTCCAACAGGAAATCTCCTCTCTGAGAAGCATGGGGTCACGTGGGCTGGGCCTCTGGGGCAGGCAGATAGGGTAAGGGTGAGATGTTGGGGGAGTAGAGCTAGAAGCAGGCTGGGAGCCAGGGCCGGATGATGCAGGGCAGAGCAGACTGATGGATCTTTGGAACAAAATGACTCCTGTTTTTTTTCCTCTTTGTTTTTCCAAGACAGAGTCTCACTCTGTTGCCCAGGCTGGAGTGCAGGGGTGCGGTCTCGGTTCACTGCAACCTCTGCCTCCCGGGTTCAAGCTATTCTCGTGCGTCAGCCTCCTGAGAGCTGGGACTACAGGCGCCTGCCACCACGTCTGGTTAATTTTTGTATTTTTAATAGAGATGGGGTTTTGCCATGTTGGCCAGGCTGGTCTCGAACTCCTGAGCTCAGGTGATCTGCCTACCTTGGCCTCCCAAAGTGCTGGAATTATAGGCGTGAGCCACCGTGCCCGGCCTGACTCCTATTTTTTGAGACTCCCTGTTTCCCAGGTTGGAGTACAGTGGTGCCATCATGACTCACTGCAGCCTTGAACTTTTTGGTTCAAGCAATCCTCCCCACTCATTCTCTCAAGTCGCTGGGGCTCCAGGCATGGACTACCGTGCCAGACTAAGGTTTTTTAAAAATTTTTTGTAGAGAGAGTCTCTCTCTGTTGCACAGGCTGTTCTCCAACTCCTAGGCTCAAGCGATCCTCCTGCCCTCAGCCTCCGAAAGTGCTGGGATTACAGTTGTGAGCCACTGTGCCTGGCTCTTTTAATCTTGAAAACTCTGCGAAGAGCTCACTTCTGTTTAGAGGCTGCCTTGGGAACTGCATCTCCTGGGCTGGTGTTCTGTGTTGCTTGGAGTCTGCTAACCCCATCTGGGTGGTTTGGCCTCCTATGCACAAGCTGCCCAGAAGGGAGGCCCTGTTCCCAATGTGGGGGTTGCCCCAAAGAGCAGGGAGCTTCCCACAGGAGAGAGGCTGGGCACCTGCTTGGCCTGGTTCCTCCTTTTCCCAGGGCTCCAACACTTACCACCTCAGGTCCTCCCAAACCCTGCAGGTCCCTGGCCTGGTCCATCCACACCCACACTGAGGAATCTCCGCACATCTCTGAGTTGCTGCATCTGTCTTCAGGCACGGCCTGCCAGCCCCCCTGGGTGCCCAGATACACTGCAAACATCAGCCATCCCAGACAATGTCCTCCTCCCGTGTCCCTATCTTGTGGAGTAATGCCTCTAATTCAGTCACACCAAGACCCCACGCTCCACATCCCCTAGAACCCTCCTCTTCTCCTGTGGCCCAACATGGCCCTTTCTTTCAGGACTAGGATGTGGGAAGAATCAAGGCCACCCTTGTTCAAATCCCATGCAGACCACTGTAATGGAGCCCTGGGCCCAAGGACCAGCTCCTAGAGCCTGCAGGGAAGCGACGGCACATTCCATCTGTCCCCATGCCACTGAGGAATCTTTGGTGGCAGAATTCTCAGTAGGCACGGCTGTGCGTGCACAGTACAGAGAAAGGATGGCCTGGATCACACACATCACTGTGTGCAGATGCTTTCCTAGACACTGCAGCCAAGGACACAGAGGCTCAGAGAAGTAAAGAAGCTTGCCCAAGGTCACACAGCCACTAAGCACCAGGAGTACTCTGTGTCGACCCCAAAGCCCTGGTCTTTCCACTCTACCATGAGCCCTGGGTTTCCTGATGTCTCGGATTCCCCTACATTTCTTTCTTTCTTTTTTTTTTTTTTTAAGAGTCATGCTTTGTCACCCAGGCTGGAGTGCAGTGGTATGATCTTGGCGCACTGCAACCTCTGCTTCCTGGGTTCAAGTGATTCTCATGCCTCAGCCTCCCGAGTATCTGGGATTACAGGTGCCCACCACCATGCCTGGCTAATTTTTGTATTTTTAGTAGAGACAGGGTTTCACCATGTTGCTCAGGCTGGTCTCGAACTCCTGGCCTCAGGTTATCTGCCCACGTCAACCTCCCAAAATGCTGGGATTACAGATGTGAACCACCATGCCTGGCATCTGCTACAGTAGCTGTAGAAAGCAGGCTTAATCTTTAAGATAGTTTCCTCTAAATCTGTTGCTCTCAGCCCACAATGCCACCCCCCTGTCTTCTCCTGTACCGGGACAGAGTGAGACTCAAAGTCAGATCTCTACGAAGCCTGCAGGATAGAAAGAAGCTTAGCAGGCCCCTCAAAGACGAGGCCCAGACCGGGCATAGTGGCTCACTTGAGGTCAGGAGTTCTAGACCAGGCTGGCCAACATGGTGAAACCCCGTCTCTACTAAAAATACAAAAAATTAGCTGGGCGTGGTGATGCGTGCCTGTAATCCCAGCTACTCAGGAGCCTGAGGCAGGAGAATCCCTTGAACTGGGAGGTGGAGGTTGCAGTGAGCTGAGATTGCGCCACTGCACTCCAGCCTGGGCGACAGACCGAGACTCCATCTCAAGAAAAAAACAAAACAAGACAAGCAAACAAACAAAAAACATGGGACCCCAAATTCACTATGCCAAAGGGAAATGTTAAGCTTGGGAACTGAGTCACGCGATAGCCTTTTGTCCCTAAGCAGATGGTTGTGAGACAGAAGGTCACCTATCTCCCCTGGTGGCCTCCCTCACCCTGGCCATGTAAAATCACAGCTTATCTTCACCGGCAGGGGACAAAGATAAGAAGAGAAATCATTGCTCTGTCCACCCAAGACAAATGTGTATTTGACTTCCTCTATTCTGTTTATCTTATGTAAAATGCAGATTTACTGAGCACAGGACTAATACATCATTAACTATTCCCCTTCCCCCTTTATTTTTTTATTTTTTGAGACCGAGTCTCACTGTTTTCCAGGCTGGAGTGCAGTGACCTGATTTTGGCTCAATGCAACCTCCGCCTGCCGGGTTTGAGTGATTCTCGTGCCTCAGCCTCCAGAGTAGCTGGGATTACAGGCACCCGCCACCACGCCTGGCTAATTTTTTTTATTTTTAGTAGAGACGGGGTTTCATTATGCTGCCCATTATGCTCCTGACCTCAGGTGATCCACCTGCCTTGGCCTCCCAAAGTGCTGGGATTACTAGCGTGAGCCACTGTGCCCAGCCCCTCTTTCCCCTTGAAATACCAAAGTCCTCAAAACCCTCTCTGGAAAAAAGCACAGGCCACAGACCCTATTGCAGCTTGAGTCTCTTTTTCCTGGCTGTGTCCTTCACCATGGCAAAATAAATCTCTAAATTGATGGAGACCTGTTTCAGGCACTTTTTGGTTTACATGGCCCACGGGAGCCTGTAATAGGGATCCTGACTCAGCTGGGAGTCAGGGAGGGCTTCCCAGAGGAGGTGACCACCAGACGGGGCCCAAAGCTCCAAGGATGTGGGCTCATCTGCACGCGGGCTCATCCCACGGACCCCTCCAAGGCAGCTTTGGGAGCGGCCGAGTTAAGACACAAGAAACTGCAGTATCCTGGTAATTTTGGGTGCTCAACATGCAGTAGCCCAATCAGGAAAACTTCCCTGTTCCTTCCAAGTCTTGCCTGGTCCTGGGGAGAGTGCAACCCTAAACCAAGCTGCGGGCTAAACCAGGAGTGACACTACGGGGCAGAAACACAGAGAAAACATATGGCGTTCATTATAGCGACACCAGGTGCCAGGCGGTGAACAGAGTAGAGTGTGCATGTGAGGAAGTGGGCGCTATATATACATGAGAGAGAACAGAATGGTATATAGTAAAAAAAAACTCTGATACACCATACTGAGTAGTACAGAGAGGAGTGGGGCTAATGCCTTTGTTAATAAACAACCCAAGAACGGCCGAATAGAATAGTGCTTATGCCTGTAACCCAGCCACTTTGGAGGGCCTGAGGTCCAGGGCAGTTGAAACCAGGCCTGGGCCAACAATGCCAAGACCACTGTCTCGTAAAAAAAAATAAAAAAAAAAATTTAAGCTGGGCATGGGTGGGTGGTGCTCACTAATCCCAGCCTACCCGGAGGCTGAGTGGGAAGGATCCGCTTAAGCCTGGGAAAGGTTGCAGTGAGCCATGATCCGCACCACTGCAACTCCAGCCGGGCAATTGGAAGCTAGACCTGTCTCAAACGAAACAACCAACAAAATTAAAAAAGTAAAAAACAAAGCTCGGCACATACCTGTGTGCGACACTGTGCAAGGCCCACATGGGGCCTTTGTCCCGTGGGATTCTCCCTAGCTCAGTCAACCATCAAGCTTCAGGAAGACCACTGAATTTTTCTCTGTACGCCCTGCTCTTGCATTTCCTACCCGGTCTTTCTTTTTATTTACATTTAGAGGAATAGAAAATTACTTTTTTTCCCTTTTTTTTGATACGAACAGGGCCCCTTGCGTCATTCAGTGTTGAAGTCAATAGCCTATGACTAACAGAGTGCAGGCCATCACGCCCAGCTAATTTTTCCATTTTTTGTAGAGATGAGATCTTGTTATGTTGTCCAAGCTACATTTTTTTAAATCGTGAGTTTTTGAAGGAAATGGGGCAGGGCAGGCTCTGGTAGGGGCTGGACTGGATGAGCCCCTGCTTGAATGCCTGCATACAGTGGGGAAAAGGGGGATTTCCAGGGACAGGGATGGGGAAAGTTCCTAGCTCATTAGACAGGAAGGCAATCTTGATTCTAACCCCTAATGCTGTGTGGTGTATGGAAAGTCACTCAACCTCTCTGAGCCTGTTTCCACATTCCTCAACTGGGACTCTGGGCCTGTTGGATCTAATCTCACAATCAAAAAGCACTACAGGCTGAGCAGAGTGGCTCATGCCTGTCATCCCAGCACTTTGGAAGGCTGAAGTGGGAGGATTGCTTGAGGCCAGGAGTTCGAGACCAGCCTGGGCAACATAGGGAAACCCTGTCTCTAAAAAAAAGAAAAAAGGTGGGGTTTAGTTTACTGTCCTGAATGCCAAGTCAGCAAACCTATTATCGGGGAGGGGACCTGCCTGAGCTTCCCTGAACCCAGACTGGCTGTAAATGACACCCATGGTTGCAAACATTTCAGTGTTCCCTTTTTGGAAATGTCATAGTTAGGACTCAGTGTGTGCAGGGTTTCACCTTCATGTTTCTGCCCCCAGTGCTGTGAGAAAGTCTTGCTGAAAGAACCCGTCCCCACAGCAGTGACCTCTTGCCCACTGCCCCGGACAGTGACGCCTTTGGTGGACAGGCCGTCCCTTGACATTTTTCCTGCCCCCTCCTGCTCATTCTGTTCTTCGGTCTCCTCTCTCGTCTGAACGCTGCCTGGGCAACTCTCATCTTATCTTTTCCAACCTGCTGTCTGTTAGCCCAAGGAGTAACTGAATTTTGCCAACGAGAAAAAAAAGACAACCGAGCTCACTGAATCAGCCATGCTATGTACACAATTTTAAACCAACTGGCTTGGGTGATGCCTGGGCTGGCTCTGCGGCTCTCTCCCGGGACAAAGTGCAAGAGCCCTGGGCAGCCTTGGCCTCTCCCCACCTAGTTAGAGGTCTTCGGCTCAGACTGACGATCTCATGTTGGTAATTACGACGGATTCACAGCAGGGAGACGCAGCCAGCGAAGAGAAAGGGTGGCTTAGAGGGGAGAGACTACGATCTGTAGCAGAAGCGTGGAATAATAGCCCTCCTCTCCCGTCCTGAACCACTTCACAGAGCCCCAACTCACTGCCGGGCCCGGGCAGAGTTCACGGCTGCAGCAATTGCACCACTGCATTCCAGCCTGGGTGACACAGTGAGACCCAGTCTCGAAAAAATTTAAAAAAGGTACATTCAGGTTCAGTTTTTAACCCCTTGTAGGGCGTGTGCACAGGTTTAGCAGGAATTCCATCAGCTCCATTTCATGGATGAGATAACTGAGGCCTGGAGAGAGGAGGGCCAAGCTGCAATGGGGCAGACACCTGTGCCCAGGACAGTGATCATGAGCCTGTGCTTCTCCTGCCACCCCAGACCTGGCTGGGCCTGGACACTGCATGCAGGAGGGGCCCTTAAGCCTTGACCCATTTTACAAAGGGAACTGACGTTTTTTTCTTAAGATGGAGTCTCGCTCTGTCATTCAGGGTGGAGTGCAGTGGCATGATCTGGGCTCACTGCAATCTCCACCTCCCAGGTTCCAGCAATTCTCCTGCCTTAGACCCTCGAGTAGCTGAGACTACAGGCACGAGCCACCACTCTCGGCTAATTTTTGTATTTTTAGTAGAGATGGGGTTTCACTATGTTGGCCAGGCTGGTCTCGAACTCCTGACCTCAGTTGATCTGCCCGCCTCGGCCTCCCAGAGTAATGGGATTACAGACGTAAGCCACCATGCCTGGCTCAAAGGGAACTGTCTTAAAGTGGGATTGAGTTGTCGAACTACTCTCTGGGTCCCCAAGACCCTTCCTTCTGAACCCCTCTAGGGCCTAGACATGCCAGAGTCATCAAACCCCCAAATCCAAACCTGCAGTGGGGGTGGGAAGGAGGCTGTTGGAATGGAGGAATCTCCACTTCTCTTCCTCTGCTTTTTATTTATTTATTTTTTTCAGATGGAGTCTCGCTCTGTTGCCCAGGCTGGAGTGCAGTGGCATGATCTCAGTTCACTGCAACCTGCGCCTCCTGGGTTCAAGCGATTCTCCTGCCTCAGCCTCCCAAGTAGCTGGGATTATAGGTGTGTGTCATGACGCCAGGCAAATTTTTTTTGTATTTTTAGTAGAAATGGGGTTTCACCATGTTAGCCAGGCTGGTCTCGAACTCCTGACCTCAGGTGATCCACCTGCCTCGGCCTCCCAAAGTGTTGGGATTACAGGCATGAGCCACTGCGCCCAGCCAGTTTTGTTTTTTTTTTAATCAGTGTTGATTAAAAGTCCAGCATAGGCTGGGTGTGGTGGCTCATGCCTGTAATCCCAGCACTTTGGGAGGCCGAGGCGGGCGGATCACAAGGTCAGGAGGGAGATCGAGACCATCCTGGCTAACACGGTGAAACCCAGTCTCTACCAAAAACACAAAAAATTAGCTGGGCGTGCTGGCGGGCACCTGTAGTTCCAGCTACTCGGGAGGCTGAGGCAGGAGAATGGTGTGAACCTGGGAGGCGGAGCTTGCAGTGAGCCGAGATCGTGCCACTGCACTCCAGCCTGGGGAACAGAGTGAGATTCGTCTCAAAAAAAAAAAAAAAAAAAAAAAAAATCCAGCATAGGCTGGCCACAGTGACTCACGTCTGTAATCGGTAGTACTTTTGGAAGTTTGAGATGTGTGGATTACTTGAGCCCAGGAGTTCCAGAATCAGCCTGGGAAACTTGGTAACCCCTGTCACTACAAAAAAAAAAAAAAATACAAAATTATAGCCTGGCACGGTGATGACACCTTCCAGTCGAGCTACTTGGGGAGGCTGAGGCAGGAGGTCACTTGAGCTTAGGGAGGTCAAGGATGCAGTGAGCCGTGATCATGCCATGCACTCCAGCCTGGTGACAGAGGAGAGGCCCTCCATAAAAAAAAAAAAAAAAAAAGGCCAGTATCTAGGGCTGAGGGTAGTGGCTCACGGCCTGTAATCCAGGCAACTTTTTTGGCCACCACAGGGGTGAGATCCTTGAAGCAGGGGAGTTCTAGGACCAGCCTGGG